GCTTTGGCTATTAAAAGAAAATTGCCCGTTTACTTCGATGATGTCTGATTTAAAAATTTACCAACAAAAAAAATGCAAAATTGTTCCATGGCTATGTTGAATTGCCGGAGGGTATGTATAAATATATATATGTGTATAATAATATAATAAACAATATAAATATAAATATAAATATAATATAATATATATATATATATGGTATATCATGGTATATCTTTTTGGGGCTTCGAAGTTCATCTCCCCTCCGCCGAGTCGCCATGACCGTCTCCTTCCGTGTCTGGGAGATCCCCAGGACGGCTTGACCACCGAAGACGCTGCCGGGATGAAGTCGGCTCACAGGATGATCGTTCCCACCTGGGATGGAAGGATGCTACCTGTATGGTACGCCCGGTATAACAGCCACGACAATGTAGCTAATACATATACATACATAGATAGATGATAGACGGATAGGATAGGATAAGATAAGATCAGATAAGATAAGATAAGATAGATAGAGATATAGAGATATAGAGATATAGAATGACATAGAGACATAGAGATATAGAGATATGGAGATATAGAGATACAGGGATATATAGATATCAATACATAGAGATAGAGATATATAGATATATAGATATAGAGATATAGATATATATATATAGGTATATAGAGATTTTGTTTTCCATGTTTTGACATGTATTTGTGTCACTATTTCAGTCGTATTTAAAAATACTTTTCTGAATCATTTTTGGGTGCTCAATGGTGCTGAGGCCGCAGGTGATGACGCTGTTGACCTCTGCTTCAAAGCTGAATATTACCTTCCCGCAAACATGAAGATGCAGAAAACCCACCATACAGGATCATAGAGGTAGATCATGAGCCGGAAAACTCTGGCTTTTCCGGCTCTTTGCGTATAACCCCTGGGTACCACATAGCCGTGCTTTGCGTGCTTTGCCGTGCTTTGCCGTGCTTTGCCGTGCTTTGCCGTGCTGGCTCAAGCTTTTTTGCCAGGGCCCCCAGCTCCTCAAGACCTTGCATTTGCCCAGGGCCAGCACCTCAGCTGATCCCAGAGCAGGGACACTCTCACTAGAGGAAAACCCATCAGAAACCATCAGAAATCATCAGAATGTAATGATTGAATGGGAGAATGATGAGATCTCATGTGGTGATGGAAAAAAATATCTGATTTGTTTGATTATTGATGGGAGAATAATGGGATAAATGGGTTATAGGCTTTAATCTGATATTTCTGGGATGATACCCTCTGGTGTCATAAAACATGGCGATGCGTGGAAATCCCCGAACTAGCCGTGGAGGTTTGGTTCGCTGGCGAAATGGTCGGTTTGTGAATGGAGGAACTTCCCAGCCAGCCATTACTCATAGAAAACCATGAGAAATCATCAGAAATTATCTTCGTTTACAATGTGGGGCCGCCTAGATAGCTAAGTTGGTTTATAACTCCAATAACTATGGTTTATGGTACTTATAACTATGGTTATTGGGGCCTATAAACCAACTTACCTATCTAGGGGGCCCCACTTTGTACAAGTATTGAGCAAGTCATGAGAAAACCACGCATCATTTCTTCATCTCGTCTCTTGGATACTCGAATCAGCTCCGTGTTTCTTCAGGTTTCATCACGTTTCATCCACACCTTCAGCACCACTCCCCATGGATTCTTGTTGGGGCGCGCTACCGCTCCCATGCTCCCTTGGTCCCCGACAAACATCTCGTCCCCAACTTCGCTTTCGCGGAAAATGACCTCGTCCCTGCCACAGATCCTGCGATTTTTTGCTTGAGGATCACCCATGACTCACGACTTACCCTCTGGTAATTTAACATAGCTATGGAAAATCACCATATTTAATGGGAAAATCCACTATAAATCACCATTTTCAATAGCAAACTGTTAAATTACCAGAGGGTAGTGGGTCACCCAGGGATCACCCAGGGATAACCCACTTAGGACTTGGGGCGCGCCGGCGGACTCAGAGGGATCCTCCGACCATCCCCAGAACCCCTCCATGGATCTCTTGGGACCGGCAACGTCAGATGCCATGTGCATTTTTCCAGGAGCTTATGGTGGATTCACTGGATTGGTTTAAGGGAAAATCTAAAGGAAACCATGGTTTTTACCATCAAATATAGGGCTTTCCTGTAAATTTTCCCATCATCCAATTCTATGATGGATTCATCCCTAGGTCCAAGAAATATGATGAAATATGATGAAATGGACAGCTTTCGGATGATCAATCCTTTTTTGGACGTGAAAAATTCCTCGAAACCACCAGTCTCCAAAGGTCCAGCTCATAAAAGTGGGGCACTGTATGATCTGTATGGCACTGTGGGTTCTGTAACAAGTCATTTTCGTTGAATTTACACCTCATTTGGCCCAAAATGATCCAAAATGATCCAAACTGGTCATTTTGCTTCGCAGGCTCCTCTGGGAAAACTCACCTCGGTGGCGTCGAAGCTCTCGAATGGACAACCCAAAACGAACAGTTCCACAAGTCATAAAATAGGTTTTTTTTAATGGGAAAATCCTATTAAAATGGATGATTTCGGGGTATCCCCATTTCAGGAAACCCCAAGATTTTCGATTGTTTAAAGTTTGGGGTTCATACTTGCTGAGTTTGTGAACAGCTAACCTTTTTTGTGGATTGCACAGTCCCGTCATCGATCAGAATCCAGCAAACTTGTCTTCCGGGTTCGGTGTTTATTCTAGGGCCTTTCCACATGAATTCCCCAATAGTATGACAATCACAGGGTTGTGTTGGTTCATCTCTCATTTTGGATGATTGCTTCATGTCATGTGCTTCCAAGTTCTTTTGGGTGTCCAAAGGTTTATAATTCTGATGCATTTTTTTGGACCACAGCCCATTTCATGGGCTCAAGTTCGCATGCTTCATGGCCCACCGTCCCATAATGGGACGCCTTTTCATGGGCATATCAATCCCTCTGAAAATGGAAATCCATTGATTGATGATCATCCTATATCCGAATATATGATTCAATGATTATAAATTATAATGCATTTCATCCAATAGTTGGTCCTAGTCATATCCCATTCATGTCCCATAAAGTCACCATTTGTTGGATGGGGAAACAACCCATCTGTCATGGGACCCATATAGTTTTGACCCCCAAGAACTGGTGACATGTCCCATTCTATTCCCCATTCATGTTCCATGAGGCCACCAGTTTCATTAGAAAAGATGTCATAGTTGATTTACCCATTAAAAATTGCAAATGGCCCATAGAAATAGTTGATGTGCCTATTGAAGATGGTGATTTTCCATAGCGAACTGTTAGTTTACCAGAAGGTAACCATGGAAACCATGGCGATTTGACATGTTTTGAGATCGACCTATCCCATCTATCCCCAGGTGACGCCTTTTTTTTTTTGTCCCAGCGTCTGTTTAACATCTCCAAGAAGTCCTTGCCGCAGTCGGCAAACATCGCGATGCTCCGCCTGAGAGAACTGTAATCAAGCTGGGCCCCGTGAGGGGCAACAAAAATAAGACATGGATCCTCTGGTAAACGTTTACATAGCTATGGAAAATCACCAGTTTTAATGGGAAAATCCACTATAAATGGTGATTTTCAATAGCTATGTTAGTTTACCGGAGGGTATCCTCTCTCTCCCAACGTTTCAGACTGCTAGTGGCAGTGGCGAGAAAAGGGCTAAGCCGCCTAAGCCGCCTAAGCCGCCTAAGCCGCCTAAGCCGCCTAAGCCGCCTAAGCCGCCTAAGCCAGTTTCAGCGGCCCACGCCAACAGGAGGAAAAAAATTGCAAATGCTTCATCCCATGCATCATTCAAATACATGTAGATATCATCGATACATATGTCCAAGTGTATTCATCTATTGGGCAAGCCTGTAACCCAAACCTCCAACAGCCACGGCAGTTGACGGGCGCGCCGGTCACCCGGTCATAACCGGGGCCAAGCTGCATTGCATCCATGTGTGGCGTCAGCAGTTGCAAGTGCCTGGATCCCCAGTGGATCAACATGGATCAACCACTATCAAATGGTGATCTATGGGTAAGATATCTATGGTAAGTGGCTATCTATGGCAAATTTTCACACAAAAAAATGGCTATCTGATTGGTAAATTAACACATTAAAAATGGTGACTTTCCATAGATAATGTTAGTTTACCATGGCTAAGATATGCTAAGATATGCTAAGAATGTCATCTCTGAACCCCTTGACCTTGCAACCGAAAAAGCATGGGCGAAATGACGGGCCGTCTTCAATGCTCCCACGCCCCAGCTGCGCCGCGTGGACATGTTATCACCAAGCCCATAGCGCCAGGCAACGTCTAAGTGGCAAGGCATCATTTTCCTTGTCCAAATTTCTGTACCCGCTGGCAAATGACTTATGACCTCTTCCAAGCCACAACTGGCTGGCTTCAGAAGAGGATGCCTGAATTTACACTTCCCCTGCATTTCGCCCTGCAAGTTGGCTGGCTAGTGTTGGGAAACGTTGGGATCACTGGGCATTTTCAAGGGAATAGCATGGAATAGCTGCTGTGCTGGCGACATGGCTTCGTCGTCCGGAAAACGTCATGCGGTTGTGCTGGACAGTTTTCGCTGGTGTAGGCCCTAAAGTCTGTGGAAAATCTGAGGGCCTTTCAATTTGTACATTGCGAGCTTGGCACGCCGAAATTCAATCATGCAGGAACCTGCTCCATCCGTACAAAGGCTTTAAATGCGCGTCTCCGGTTGGACAGGACCGGAAAACAAATGGGCACCCTCCCCCACTAAGTGGCTGCTCACAGCCTCTTCTGATATCCCTGGTTCCGTATCACCAGGCTCGTGCAATGTCAACCCAAGATTGGCACACCCTGCTTGATTCGGGGGGTGCACCCCAAAAAGATCCAAAAATAAGAGAGAAACACATCACCGATACATCGGGAACCCATATTGTAGCCACCCATATGCAATTTGTGCATATATGCACATATGCATAATTGTAATTAATTATATATTACTATTATTATTATAGAAATAATCCAATGAGGGTTTACAAATTCTGGGCCAACATAAACTGACACATTCGGGCGAGACGTGGCTGTTAGCCATCACCTCATGCCAACATTCAAGACATTGCAAAATGCCGTCTGTCGTGGTATTTCCTGATTTCCATCCCAACGCTCATGTGACTTGGGCTTGGTCCTGCAACGAGCCGTTCAGAAGAATCCTTCCAAAAAAAATCATGTCGTGAACTGTTCCTTTACAACACATTTTTGTTTAGATGCGTTTTTTAGATTTTTTTACGGAGGGTACATTCTTTGGGGGAAAGATGGGGAAAGGTGTCTTTGTTGCTTGAGGTCTGGAGTCTGCCATAGCAGCCATGATCAAACAGAGTCAAAAATATACCAAAGCGACTGAATTGAACACTCATCCAATCTGCCTCGGGAGGATTTTCAACATCTTTGGTCAAAACCCTCCAAACATCAAGTTGTCTTGTATTTGTTTCATTGCAGCATGTTCAGAAGAAAAAAACAAAAGGCCCGGTGTCCTTGGTAGAAATTTCGACAGCTCCAGACATGGTATCACGGACTGCTCTGGCGGGTATGCCCCCACTGCCACCCCTCGTGCTCCGTAGGGGCCCCCAATGATCAGGCGGACGCACTCAGCACCTTGGCGTCATCATCATCGTCATAACTGTTGTATACTATCCAGGTATTTTAAAAATATTTCACAAATCTGAAACTTGCAGATCTTGCGGCCAGCAGGATGATTCCCCTTCCTAACCATGATTCCAGGGTTCGGTCAACAGTGAGGTCACAAAATCAGTTACCCCGATGATTATTCATGATAAGTCCCAATATCTATATATATATATATGTGTGTGTATGTATATGTATTTATTTATTTATTTATTCATTTATTTATTTACTTATTTTTTATTTATTTACTTCCATGATAGTTGCCACCATTATATTTAATGTTGGTTAGGTCATCATATTTCTTGGTTTAGGAAAGTGGTAGTTGTTTAACCGTCAGACGTGGTTTCGCCAAGGTACAAGACAGCGAGACGTCCACCATTCGCTCTCGGCACATCACCGTGGTATTGAAGTCATTGCTACCTGGAGGATACCACGGGGGCGGCGAGACGTGGAGCGTTCCGCGCAAGGGGATGGGGTCAGGTCTTCGAAGCATTCTTGGATATGATATATGATATATGATATATGATATATGATATATGATATATGATATATGATATGTTATGATCTGTTATGACATATTACGGTGTGTGTGTGTGTATATATGTATATATAGGTTACTGGCTCTTTACTGGGAACAAATCTAGACAGTTTTCTGCACAGAACCCTTTGTGCAAACTGCCTTTTGGAAAGTAAACCTAACCCTTGGAAGGGTTTTTTATGGCCGCAAAATTGTTTTACGGAACCTACCTTTTTGGAACAAAAACCAAATCATTCAAAAAGAGAAAGTCTCCTCGGAAGAAGTCTGGCTCCTAGGCTAGCCAAGACGTTCCAAATCCTTGTTTCTTAAGATGGTTTTGCGCTAACAATGTCTTATCTTAAAATGATTCCAGTATATTCCAGTCCCAATCGACTTAACTTTCGAGGTTCCCTGAAACGAGCATGACGTTTCTATCTGATCTAATCCTTTCCTATCCTATCCTATCCTATCCATAATCTATATAATTAACATATATGGACATGTATTTGGATGCATTCCAAGAATAGGCATTAATTGCCTAAATTCCCGAACTATGCACAATGCATAGGGTATCAGACGTCTGCCAAAGTCCCCAGGTAGGCATGTTGCCAGGTCAAAGTGCTGAATGATCTGGATGTTGGGTACAACAATATGGCAGTGTGTCAAAACCTTGTACCCCCGGTGAACATCAAAATAGCTGGTAAATGGATGTTCATCCCACTAAAAATGCTATTAATAGGTATTGATAGCCATATCTCCACCCCCCCAAAAAAAAAAAAGAAATGTCTCAAGCAAAGTTCACCACGCGACCGTGATAGGGAAGAAATCCTTGGGGCTTCACGTTGCGAATGTTCAGGAAGGCCTTGCAGTGAATGGACCCAAGAACGAACGCGATGGCATATTATGGATGTATCTATCTATATCTATCTGCGATTCTGTACCTTTCCTTTTATATATATATACATATTATATATGTATACATATTATATATATATACATATTATATATATATATACATATTATATATATATATATACATACTTTAATACGTATATATATATATATATTGCATTCTATACTGCATCCTATGCGTATATACCTGGAAAATCGTGAAATGTCCTCTGAAACAGACCCATGCTTGGGATGATTCCAGACATATCAGACATCCCAATCACAATCTAAGCATCATCTATGGTGCACGGGATTTTGACCCACCCGACCTGGTAATCATCAGCATGCTCCTTGCGGAAGACCCAATTCTCCATGCGGCGACAGCCCTCCTTGCTACACTCCTCAATGAGACATTCGGCCCAAGACGAGGTCTTCTCCTCGCAAGTTGTTTTCGGAGAGGGTTTGTGTCCGGGAAAATCTCTGTTTGACCCCACAACAATATGGAATAAAATGGAAGCTGAATACAAGGTGATAGAGATTAGAGATGGTCAGCCCTAAAATTCCAATATTCAACATGAAACCCACCTTCCAAATCCCATTTCTGATAGGTTCTCCTGAAAAATTCCCCGGGTTTGCCCCACACGTTTGGAAGGTTACAGCGGGCTGTCTGTCTTGGAAGCGCGCCCGGTACCTACAGTACTTCCACACTTTGGAGGAACATCTGCACAGATTCTCGTACCAGCACAATCGAATCCCGATGAATTCCCTCAACTTGGTCCCTCGGAATTGACTGATCCAATACAAAACCTGGGTGGCTAGCAGTATATTTGACAGAGTTTTTATGGGAAATCTGTTGGAAACCATGGGTTTTTCTGCGTTTTAGCATGTTGCTTGCTAGTCCCCATTGTTGGCTGTATGACTGTATGATCTGCATTTCACATCAGTTCACCCATTTATTTGGAGCGGAGTTTCCTACCAGTTAACAACCACTCCCCCTCCACAACACACACCAAAAAAATCCGCGCACCCATACGGTAAGCCCAAAAATAAACCTCCAAGTTTGGAGGAATTGATATCAACCATTGATGGTCATATTTGGGATGGGAACAGCATTTGGCTCCCGAAAACACAACCCCCACCTTTTGGTCAGGGCTTGTGCTAGGCGGGGCCTCTCGCGTGGGAGGTTCCATTACCTCGGTCCGAATGGTTTCTGTGCTGGGGCCTGACAGCTAGGTTTTTAAGGTTCCAGCTTACTGGAGGAACATGTGAGCTCCCAGGAAAAAAGGCATGAGGGGTCAACAGGCAAGTTTTAATGATCTTTAATTCATTGCGTCCATGTTTTTTTTTGGCCAGTTCAGGCCATTTCTCAGCACCACGCTATCAACATTTCTCTTTTGAACTGGCCACGGGTTGGCATGAAGACCCCATTTTCTTCGACAAGGCTTCGTTCTTTTTTCCGAAAACCAGCATTGGTGACGCAAATCCCAGCTGTGGAGTAAATCTTCAATGGATTGGTTTACAAGAAAATCTTCAGGCACCCCAGGTTTTCCCCCCAAATATAGGGCTAAAACCTGTGGGTTCCCAGCCAAGGCGCCGCCCCACGCGTCACCACTCCGCCGTGGAAGCCGCGGGGACCCGCTGCTCCCCCCATGCGCTCCGTCACTGCGCTTGGAAGGGGCTGCCGGCCCGTGAAGATATAGCAAACAATGCCGGGACAACCTGGGAAAGTTGAAACCAACCGAAATCTGTGCAGGTTGCATCGTATTGCCATGTGTCGATTCTTGAAAAGAATGAGTCATATTTGATGGAATGGATGGATATGCACCTGCAGATTTACATATACGCGCACACGTGTGTAAATATATATATGTGTGTGTGTGTGAATTGCTTTTTCTACTGAAACCTGGTGCCACAAACCAGCTAGAAATGAGATATATATATATATATGTGTGTGTGTGTTTGTGTGTGTTTCTCCGGATCAACTTAATATTGAAATCTCAGCTAGTTATGGGTCCCAAAATGAACCAGGGACTGTCGAACAAATTGCTGATTGAAGGTGTCATCACCATCCAGGACATCTGGGGTATGTCAGAAAATGAAAACATCTGATACATTCAATGGGAAAACGAAATTCCTAATCCATTGGGCTCCGGAGCATTCACACAAATCCATACAAATCCCAGATAATTACCCTCTGGTCATTTAACATAGCTATTGAAAATGGCCATTTATAGTGAGTTTTCCCATGAAAAATGGTGATTTTCCATATAGTTATGTTAGTTTACCAGAGGGTATTCCAAAAAGTCTCTTTCTGTACCCCTGTTTGTGGCCTCAACGTTTGAACATCCCGAGATTTGTTCGTTTCTGCAGCCCGGAAGCACAAGGCCAACAAAATCACCCCAGGACTTCCTCGAAGGGCTGCCATGACCCGCCCCGCGTGCGCCCGCTACAAAAACCCCACGGCGCTGGAGAACCAGAGATCCAAGGCAGTCAAGTTTCTTTGGAAGGAGATACAACATGATAACCACTGTAAAACATTGTAAAACTGTAAACATCTGTAAACAATGTGGTTGAAATATGTTGAAATAAGGCCCTTTTTGTCCACATACATCGTAAGTCATCGTAGATCCACCTAATGTCTGGTGAGAGCGGCCGGCCAAGTCCCATCAGGTCAGACTCAATCCACATCACTGGCGCAGCCCGTTGATGCCCGTTGTGCCTGGCCGAAATCTTGTCGAACAAATTGCACTCTCTCGGAAAAGTCAAGCGCAACTCCTGCTGCCCGCAGTGATATCAGTGATGTGGATTGAATGCTATGAATCTGACTGATACCCATCCACCACAAAAGATGGCTAGACCTCCAAGAAACAAACATGATCGAACATGGCTAGCCAGACTAGCTAGAAACTCCTGCAAATTCAGCAGGTGCTTT